ATATATTCTATTACACTCCAAACGAGAGATTCTAACGAAGGTCTTATTGGATCTCATATATATATTGTGACATGACCATAGAGAAGGATGATTCCATTCTTCGAAAAACACCTCTCAACGGTTGCCGAATCCGTGTAAAACCCCACTCAAGGGCTGTATCCAATCTAAAAGTTTACAGGTTTAGATTGAATCGTTTTTTTGGTCTTTAGATCAATTAACCAAAACCACTGCTTAAAGAAAACATAGTCTATTTTATTGTAAATTAAAAATACTGAAAACTTTCCATCCACATCACATATATGGGAGACGTTTACAGTTGAGACCGATGTTGATGTTGAGACCGATGATGTTGTGGATGTTGACCTTGTTGTTGAGTGATGGTTCTATTTGTAGTGGGAATTGAGGTTGATGTAGAGATAGGCTTATCCAGTTATTTACCCCCATAGATTCTCTGTATATTATCAACGTCATACTGACTTAAGGTTTCAACTCCACCATAAAATCCATACATTACGGAATCATTTCGATTATTATGCTCCAATCCTAAAGTGTGATCAATTTCATGTATAATAACTGACAATAAATCGATTTCATTTTCATTTTTGGTGAAATTCCAATTCTCGTCTATGTCTATATGAATTTCAACTCTATCTTTATTTAAACTCGAATAATGTGCGTGTGCTAGCACACCTCCTTTACTGTCAAATTTACCGACGCAATATATCCTAGGATCTCGTATAAGTGTATGATTCCCACGTTTGAACCCGATTAAAATGTTAATATCTCAATAAGCTTTTTAACACGTTGACCGCCATGCGATGCACGTGTGACTCGCACTGCCCTTAATTAAGTAAGCCGTGCCACTCACATGTGTTTCGCACGTAGTATTTCATTTGAGACGCGCTGCTCAGGTTTGCTTCGTAATATAGCAGAAATCTTATGGGTGCTAAAAATGTACGGCCCACTGAACAAAAAAAATCTATTGGCCTGTACTTAAAGGTTAACATACGTATTATATCTGGTGTTGGATATATACGCTTTTTTAACAGTAATATTCTACTTTGTAGGATGATAAATGTAATGATGTATTTCTTTATTTTACAAAAAAAAATGGACACGAGGAATATAATATTTATTTTGAAGAATATAAGAACATAAAATAATTCAAAACCAAAATACAAAATTCTTATTTATGGTAAATTTGCTGATCATACTAAGTATAAATCAAAGCGCAGATTATATAAGAAAAATAACATTTTGTTGATCTAATCTTTTTTATAGTATACAGGTATGGGCAGAAGTAAAACAAGGTATGAAACTTAATAAGTGCAATAAAACTTATCGCACAGAACACACTTATAACGAGACGGAGGTGCCTGTGAAGTAGCATACTTTCTGCCATGCAGTTCAGATAAGTTTTTGTAACAAACCACACATCTACGACGATTACTTGTGCCTACTTCTTCAATAAAATGTCTTTCCGTTGATGAGGGCTTTTCCTTCGGCGTAATACAAAGCAAATCTTTGGTAATTTCTTCTCTAAACTCGTTTGTACAAAATAAATGCATTTACGATTGTTGAGCCCAAGAGAATTTCGATGGCCATTTTGCGGTACCATTTGATACTGCGCCTAAGACGAGATGCATAGGCTTTTATTTGGTCGGACAGATCGATGAAACTCTTATTCTCGTTGTAGTCTTTGATAGCTACTGGCTTTTGTTTTTCAGATCCACTTCGAGATTTTACTAAAACCATATTATTTGTATGCTTTGTTGTCAACATCAAAATTTCACGTTTATCACACCATTTTATTATTACTACTCCAGAGTCACTTTCCTTGGCAATACTTTCTCCCTTTTTGAGTTTTTTACTTACAATTTCTTTCGGATTTCCTTTTCTGTTTCTTCTTAGGGTTCCTACTAGATGAGTTTGTCTATCTAATAACTTATGTGCAAGTTCAAGGCTTGTATAGTAATTATCTACATATATTGTACGCCCACTATCCAATAAATTTTTCCATCACAATAGACGTGGGCACACTTCCAGAAGCACTTTTTTTTTCTGTTCCGCAATAAATTTTGAAGTCATAAGTATAGCCTTCTTCAATACAAACTTTAAAAATTTTTACGCCAAATTTGTGTCTTTTGTTTTTTATAAACTGTAAAAAAACGAGTCGTCCTCGAAATGGCACTAAAGTTTCATCCACGCACACATTACATGTGGGACGCACAGCATCTTGAAATTTTTGGCTTATGTAATCCAAAAGCGGTTTGATTTTGTAAAGTCTATCCGAAACATCCGGGTGTTCATTGTTAGAGAAATGCCAATTGCTCAAAAGAAGTTCAAATCGGTTACGAGACATTACTGATTTTATTTCATTCGAATAAAGAACATTATTTGACCAATAGCAAACCAGCTTAGACATCTGAACTAAACCCATCCAGATTTGAAGGCCCAAAAAAATTTTCATTTCTTCAGAGTTAGTATCTTTCCAACTTCTAATTCGAGCCTTGGGTAAAGTTAATTTTGTAGCCTTTTGGGAGGTGTATATATTTGTTTCTTGTACCATTAGATTTAGAAGACCATCGTCAACAAATAATGAAAAAAAAAATAAATAAAATAGGGCGTTTGTTTTGTAGATTTTGAATATCGTCATTTATCTTCAAATTTTGTGCATAAACAGGAAAATTTTTCAAATGATTTCCTGTCACTTCGTTCCACTGAAGATCATTAGGCTGTACTAGATCTTCATTAGACGAGGAATCGACACTCCATTGAAAGCGTCGTATAACTACGGTGACCATATTTTTTTTAGAAAAATAAAGGACATCGAAGAAAATAAAAAATACTTTATAATCATGTTTATCACATTTATTATATTTATTACAAAAATAGTAGCATGTATTAAAATTTTTACATTAAACTATTGTAAAAATTTAAATAACATTAATTTTGATATTTTTCTGTAGAGTTAATTTTCTTTAATAGCGCCGGTTCACGCTTTAAAAAGTCGTAAAACTCTATACAGTTCATCTGAAAGTTATATTTGACAGAAATACAAGCTTCTAATGTGCTTACTTTTAACTGAGTTTTTTCATTTGTCCACATATTATTCACCAAGGAAAATATTCGTTCGACGGGGGCATTAGATCCAGGAAGACATAAAGAAAATTCTACGATTTTACAAATATTTTTAAAAGCAATTTCTTTAGCTGTAAAATGTTCAAAAATCTCAACCCATCTTTGATGGCAAGGCTTGTTATTCTGTCGCCATTCGTCGATCTTGTCGTTTGTGACGTATTTTTTTACACACGAAACTTCATCAAATAACTCAGCATCGATTATGTTTATGGACCAATTATTATTGGAAATAAAAATATAGCTTTCCTCTACCTTTGCCCACGTAGGAATTTCGAGTAAAGTGACCCATTCAAACACCTCTATTTCAGTAAAACACTTGTCCCAATTATTTAGATAGTCTATGCATGTTTGATAAAACGTGTAGAGTAGACATCATCATTGAATTTTTTTGCTTGTTCATTTTCAGATTTTTTTAACGCTAAAATCACTTTTCGAATAACAATAGGAAGAAACCGCTCATTTTTTCTTTCATTCAACTTTAGCTTGAATTCCTTTAGAAGTATGGATGTTTCGCACATTGAGATTTCTTGTGATTCAATTTTCAATATATATTGGTGAAATATTGAAGCTTGGTTATGAACAAATAACAACCATTCCTCTGCTAAAGTTTCATTGAAAAAGTTTTTCAAAATTGTGGGACATTTTTCCAGATTCAAAAAGTATGATTTTAATGGCTTAAATAGTTGTAAAATTCTATCTAAAGCTGGCAAAAGAGTTAGCCAGCGTGTTTTGCTGTAACCAAGAAGCTTTTTATATTGAACCTCTGCGTCATCACAAAATTCTTTGAATTCTTCTACTCGTATTGTGTAAATATAGAAATGTGAATAAATTTTTACTAATATCACTTCAATATCTATCGGAAGACAATCTACAGCAGTGCTTATGCAATTGTTTAATATGTGAGCAGCACAATTAACTCCTATCAATTTATTTTTACTTGTTTGTTGCATTTTAAATAAAACATTATTCTTTCCTTTTCTCTTAGAACCACCAAAATTGCTGTTGGTATTATTGTTGTTTTAGTGGAAGAGGGCGTGAAATAAATCCAGAATAACACTTTAGTTTCAGTATATTAGTCAATATTAGTATAATAAAATAACAACTTGTTTTCTTAAACAAAACCCTAACGTTTCCTACAACTGACAATCTACCCAATCTACTATCATCTTTTTTATTCTTTTTACTCTACGTTATCGACATTCTACAACGCCATCTATACCATCTATTTTAACTTAAACTTAAATGCATTTACAACAATTATCAGCACACAAAGCTATTAATTTATCAGTAATTTCAAATTTGGACAGTAATTCCGTGATGCAATTTGTTAATATAGCTTAAGTTTCTCCAGAAAGATTATTGATACTCAAAACTTTTACTCTGATACCGCAATTGGGTAAAAAATATCTGACCAAGATTGTGCACAATTTAGTATTACCATGATTTGAACAATCAGAATAAATAGTTATAAAATTGGTTTTGTTTAAGTCATATTGAATTAATTCAAAAGAATTAAGGTGCAAAAACACTACAAACGATTGCTTCCGTTGTCGTCCTTGCACAAGAATATTTTTCCTCAAAACATTTTTTAATTAATTTAGAAGTGCAGTCATTTGACCGAAAAGAATGGTTATGTTGTATTGAGTGATAACACCAAGATCCTTCTTTTAGTGCTAAAGCCTTTAGCTTGTCATCGACATTTTTATTAACGAAAAATGAATTCAACGATGTGTTTGTTGAAGCCCGGATATCCGCTTCCTTGTGTTTTGCTGTCTGAATATGTTGGGTAATTGCTGATTTACCACTATTCGCAATATTAAAATTGGCTAAACATTTGCTGCATTTGACGTCACTCTCTGTTATTCCTTTTTTAATAAATGGAAATTCTTCTTGTAATGATTGATTAAAAACGCATTTTCTTTTGGGTGCCATGATAAATGGGCTACAAAATCTAAATTAAATAATACTTAAACAAGAAAAATTAGAAATAATAGATTAAAAACTCACATGCAGTCCCTGTGTGATTAATTAACGGTATTTAAAAGTGTAGTATTTGATGCAAAGTCACCAAAAGTCACATTAGTACAGTCCCGAGAAAAGGAGAGTACTGTAAAAATATACTCGGTCTAGATGGTGTGCATAATTTCTTTTAACGTTTCAAAATAAAGGACAAAACGCTTATTTTAGACAATAAATAAAGTTAGAGGACAGGAGTGTGAAATACAGGACTGTCCTCTTAACCCTCCAGTGAACGGGTGTTCCGAAAATCACACGAGCGAACGGGTGAGGCCTGTCAGGCCTATATTTGCAATACATATAAAAAAAGAATTAAATAGATTTTTTAACTGTTTTTCAATTTAGAGTAAATTATAGTTAGTTTATTTCACCATGAGTCAATAAAATTAAAAAATATAAATATTAAGGTTAGGAATTTTGTTAAATTTAACAACACATATCATTTTGAACACTTTTATTTTAAACATTATTTACTGAGTTTTAAACAATAACAAGTATAAAAAGAAGTTATAAGTATACAGTTAACAAACTAATTTATAAAAAAAAAGCTATATCAAAATGTTTAAAATAGCCTCGACACAAAACAATGGATGGGAAAAAAGGTGATAATTCAGATTAATTTTTCTCTGTGCATTCGCGGCAACAAGCTGTAATATGATCCATACACAACCAACACCTGCAAAATTTGCAAAAGTATCGAGTCTTCCTTCGTTTACAATATTTACAGTAGCCCCGTTTATTGGGAGGGGGGTCCTGCTGGTCTTCTGAAGCAGAGAGTCCTGATAAACGACCAGCTGTTTCACGAACTTTTCTTGGCAGGCGTGCATTTACAGCCCTTTGTCGCATGTTTTCTTATAGTAAAGAAGTTCCTAGATTTTTTAAAAACATTCTTCGACTTTTACTAAACTCACCATCACGGTTATTTGCTTTATAAATTATAAAAGCGTTAATCGCAGCGACGTTCATCAATCCATAAAATATGACCATAGGCCAACGTCGTGTGCTTCTGGCTGGATTGTATGCTGTTATCATTCGGTCGACAACATCTACACCACCTTTGGTCATATTATAAAAACTGACCACTTCTGGTTTAGCTTTTTCACCAGTACTTTGATCAATAGCAGTGTCATTATGCATTGACGAAATCAATAAAACATTTTTTGATTTTTTTGGAACGTATGAAACAGCCATCATGTCTTTACTAAAAGCAAATAGCGACGAATTCACTTTCCTGTTCTTTACCTGTGTTATTTCTAAAGGTAATTCCCTTCTGTTGGCCCGAATAGTTGCCACTACAGTGAGGCGATGCTCTCGTAATAGCAAACTAGCTATTTTATATCCGGTAAACCAACGATCCATGGTTACATTTCGTCCAGATCCGGATAGGTGCATACACATCCTCTCTGTGACAGCAGCTGTTGAATTATCGATTTTAAATGGGCCTTCGAGTTGAGTCCCTGCATAGATTTCTAAATGGGATGTGTAAAATGTCCTAGAATCGACCATTGAGAACACTTTTAAGCCGTATTTATTTGGCTTATTTGGGATATACATTTTAAATCTGCATCTCCCACGAAATGCAAGTAGCATTTCATCAAGGGTAACGTACTCCCCAACAGAATAGTGTACTTTGCACTGTTCATTGAACTTTATCATCATTTCCCTTACGGCAGCAAGATTGTCTTGGGATTTTCTGACCTCTCTGGTGTTTGTGTCATCAAACCGTAGGCATCTCAACAAAAATTTAACCCTTCTTTGAGCCATTGCAGCAGGAAATATTTCGCATCCTAGGCCATCGTCGCTATAAAATTCAGCAATGTGTTTTCGTCCTCCATGCTGCGAACCTGCTAGATACAGCAGACCTAGTAATGCCATTATTTCAGTGGTATTTGTTTCAGTGGTAGTCGTACTGATCTTGATATCTATTTGAAATTTTTGTGATGTATAGATTAGTGTTTACTACAATGACATTCACGATTTCTTCGAAAAAATACATCCAACATTGCATTGGCGTTTTTCCATTCTTTGCCAGTCCCAAAGAATGGAAAAGCAGCTTCCTTACTCCATTTTGTCCCATCCTTTCCATAAAAGTACTTACATCTGCTTCTTCGCAAAAGATTGGCTTGTTCTTCTACATCTGAAAACGACTCTTGCTCAGTATCTAATTCATGGTCACTTACAAGGTTATGGTCTTCGTCGGCCAAAGATTCATTATCACTTTCAGTCAACTGTGAAAGTTCATCACTATTTACTTCATCGGCAAGGCGTTCTAACCTTTTTACCTCTCGTTCATATGAACACATTGAAATAAAATAAACCTATAAGGGAGAGAAAAAAGAAAATACGTAAATATGCTTGATATTTATATATAACTATAGAATTATTTACCTTCGATAATCCAAAAGAATTTAACAAACACTTATAATAACTTGTTTTTACGCCACTCTCTGGAAAACAATTCACTAACAAAAGTAATAAACGACTGAACCACGTTTGTGTACAGAAGCCAAGTGGTGATGTTAGGGGAATCACGGACCGTTATACACTAGCGAAGTCATTGTAAGAAGGGAATACCCCGAATTTAAATTTAGCAATTTGGAACTTATTGAGAAAACAGAAAATTTAAAATTTACATCTATATTTTTTTTAATTCTACCAAAAGAGTAATGAAAACACGTATTTGTTTTTTTATAAGATGTTACATGAGTGAACGGGTGAGGCCTATTAGGACATTTTTATTTTTTTTTCAAAAAAATTGTCACATACTTTATTAGAAATTTTTATNATACATACAGTGGTTCACAGCTTATTTCAACCACCCTCTTTTAAGAAAATATAGCTCACATAATTTCGAAACGAAACAAGATATTGCAAAAATTTAAACAAGGGTTTACATAATACTTTCCAAACTTAAAAAAAAGAAGTTTTATTCAGTCTCAAATTTACATTTTCAAACATTTACAAACTAAAAACCAAAAACATACCTACTATAAGTAGTCACAGCTTATTTCAACCACTTATTATTTTAACTTAATTTATTTAATTTCAAAACTTAGTATGACCTCCTTTTTGATCAATTACAGTTTTCAGCCTTCTTTGCATGGATTCCACTAACTTTCTTGTGGTTTGGGGAGTTATTTTTGCCCATTCCTCCTTTAGCGCTGCTATAAGGTCATTCCTGTTCGAGATCTGGTGTTGACGGATGTTTTGGTCTAAAATTGTCCATAAGTTTTCAATAACATTTAAATCAGGTGATTGTGCCGGCGGTTGCATCAAGTGGGGACAGTTCCAAATCAGCCATGTCTGCACAATACCAGATTTATGTTTCGGGTCGTTGTCCTGATAGAACCGAAACCCCTCCCTTATACTCAGTTTTTCGGCACTTTGTAATAAATTGGACTTTAGGATGTCGAGGTATTTATTTTTGTCCATTTTACTTTCAATAAACTGTAAGTTTCCTACCCCACTTGATGACATACAAGCCCACACCATGACACTACCACCACTGTGTTTTACTGTCGCTTTTAAATTTTTATTTTGGAGCTCTGTATTTGGCTTACGCCAGACGTAAGTTTGACCATCCGAGCCGAAAATATTAAATTTAGACTCATCCGCAAAAATAACTTGCTCCCAAAAGTTTGAATCTTTGTTAATATGTTCCTTGGCGAATTTTAGGCGCGCTGCTTGATTTTTCTTATTAATAAATGGTTTTTTCCGCGCTACTCTACCATTAAAACCATGGTTTCGTAATACACGGCGAATAGTTTCCGCACTGCATGTTTTATTCAGCTGATTTTGAACTTCTGTAGCCAATTTTGGAGCGGATAGCTTCGGGTTTTCCTTTATTTTCCTGACAATGTAGCGCTCATCAGTTTCGTTAAAAATTTTGTTGGGAGCTTTTCTGCCCTTATCATGTATCCTATTTTCATGAACGAACCGAGATATTATGCTTTGCACTGTCGAATCACTAAGGCGAACCATTTCAGCAATTTTCCGACGCGAATGGCCGTTTTTAAAATGGCTAATAACCAATTCCCTGTGTTCTATGGTAGTACGTCGTCCCATTGTCACAAAATACGCCTCTGGTTTACTTAACTGCCCAAATCACACTACAACCATATGTATTTACATAATTGGAAACATAACCTCAAAAAAAGTCAACTTAACAGATCTTAGAAGTGGGTGGTTGAAATAAGCTGTGACTACTTATGTAGGTATGTTTTTGGTTTTTAGTTTGTAAATGTTTGAAAATGTAAATTTGAGACTGAATAAAACTTCTTTTCTTTTAAGTTTGGAAAGTATTATGTAAACCCTTGTTTAAATTTTTGCAATATCTTGTTTCGTTTCGAAATTATGTGAGCTATATTTTCTTAAAAGAGGGTGGTTGAAATAAGCTGTGAACCACTGTATAACTGATTCGATTGTTTCTTCAACGTGTGTACTAACCTGATAGTCGCGGTCTTTATTTTCTAGCACATTTTCGGTAGACAGTTGATGAATGATGTAGTAGGTATAACAGCAGGATTAGCAGTTATGGTTTTTGACTTTTTTTCTTTTTCTTTTGTATAGGAGTATCAGATGAATATTCAAACGGTTCTTCATCTGATAAAACCTCGTTCATCAGTGCTTGTAAACGTAATTGATTTCTTTCATCATCACCCATTTCACCAATATCACTATTTTGCACACAGGTACTTAACTTCACGAATGATCAAGATAAACTAAGCAACTAGACACCGTAAAGTTTGCAGGTTCATTCCTGTTCGCTGCGAAGCACGGATGCATCGCGCGGCGCCAGCATGAAAATTTTGCCTTTGGCGCCGTGCGATGCACACTTGCTTCGCACCTAAAAAAAATACTTACAGAGTAAATAAGACCATATTATGTAATTCTATAGCCTAGTATATAGGTTTATGAATGTTTAAAACAAAAAAAGACTCCGGCCCTAGCCATGGTAAAAACGGTTGCCATTACGGCGGTCAACGTGTTAAAATTGTAAATTTGTATGCTCAGATCAAACGTTAAACGCTTTTCTAAATAGCTCTACGGACTGTGTAGGATATGGTTGGAACAAACCCCATTTAATTTTAGTAAAGTTCCACTTACGCGTTATATGTTTATAGTTTAAATTTGTATAAACATCCAAATTACCACATCGGGGTTTTGACAGTAGCTTTAATGTCTCCTTATCAGCCTCTCCTGTTATAGGGAGATTATAGTAATTTTGAAAGTGGGATAAACCTTCAGCTAACATCTCCTGACGATTTAAATTTAAATTGGGTTGTTCTTCAAAGTACGAAATATGTCCATACTTAACATGGAGATACATCTTAACTTGTCAAATGTTGGGGAATGAATGAATGAAAGTTGAACAGTTTACAAAATATATTCAATTTTATTAAATTTCAGTGTACGTTTCGAACACAATATATTCAAGTTTACTAAATATACAGTACATATTTCGAATGGTTTAAGTAAGATTTTAACATCAATGCGTTGTTTTGAGAACATGCGGCTGGGAATCTGTTATGACACCAACATGCATTTAACGTGGCATTGAATTTAATCTCTTAGGCTACATTACATTTTTCTAGCGATAGGTCGATAATCTTTCAATTCCTACAACATTGATTTGGATGACATGGGAGTTTTTCCAAAAAATGTGCCGTCTGGTTCTCCTTCACATAGATCATATCATAGTTTGAGATGGTGTCATCGAGCAGCTTCAAACCTATATCTTGACTGATCCAGCCATCGTTAAAACCCAATCGATGATGATGTCGTTCTAAATATCTAGACTTCTAGTCCTTTTCGTTTAGCGCTCGAAATGGTTTGCTTGACTGTAGATGTAGATTGAACGTGTGGGATGTGTCTAAATCTATGAGACACTACAAGACAGACTACAACTACAGGTCTGAATTTTATGATGGAAACTAATGTGCGCATAGCATGAACGCCATATATATATCGTCACCTGTAGTTGTTTTTTTCTGTGGCTGACCACACAACAATAACCACATTTTTATCAATGAATGGACATCTAAATATAGATATCCTGTTAATTTATGATTACCGACACCTCACCGCCCAATGGTTTATATGTATACATCGAGTCTTGAATTAAGATACAGTATGCCTTTGTCTCCGCTGGAAAGTCTTGACTGTTTTCAATTTCAATATTTCAAGACACTCAATTTGTACCTACCGAGAGATGATTTCTAAAAATTAATACAGGAAGATTTGGTTTTAAAATGAATCATTTTAATTATCTCTGGAAAAGTTGGTTTTCATGGTTGTTGTTGTTGTTTGTTTTTTCGTGTTGAGTGACTTATTACCTTTGCAATCTTTTGAATTATGACTTTTTCGAAATAATTTGAGTTGTTTGTGTTTGATATAAACATCTTCATTCAATGCATACAATTTAATTTTCTTTGAAAATTCTGATAATTTCACACTCTGTTCATAAAAAGTGATTTTTCTAAACCTTTTTTTAACAGCTTGGACACCTCTCTCTGCCAATCCTTTGCTTTGTAGATGGTAAGGTGGTGATTTTACTGCTTTTATTCCATTTGACTGACAGAAAGTAACAAATTCGGGTGAGTTAAAACCGAAGGAGGAGGACTCATCACTGCTGATATTTATCGGTGATGGGAATCTGGGAGGACTTTCATATCCCCCACATTCCGCTAAGAAAAAAAGAAAAATAAACCCGATAGTATTGGTTCCATGTTGGGGTTTAGCGCTAAGATAATAAGAGCAGGAATTTTAACGGAATCGGATCGACCAATACAAATAATTAAAGTATCAAGTATTCGCGTTGAATGTAATATTGTGACGAACGCTTTTTATGATAGTGAAAGATCGCATACGATATACGAATTTTCTCCTCAAGTCGCTCCAGGATATGCTATAAATATAGAACCGAGAAATATTGTTTATTTACCAATCATCAATCGTAGGAATATCAACAACATAACCCTATTTCTCGCCGATCAAAACGGGAGACCTGTAAATTTTCGAAACGAAGAAATTGTTATAAGGCTCGAATTGAAACGAATTTCCCAACATGGGATTAGTATTCAACAATAATACGCTTTTTGTCTATAAAGGATCGAGTAGCTGTAAACGAAAGATATTTGGTGCTGGTCATTCTTCGAGACAACATCAATGACAACGACGACAGCGAGCGGGATTAACAAGAAAAAATAAATTATTTTTAATATCTCTGGGATTTAAATTGAAAAAAGAAAAAAATGAGTGAAATTTTAAACGTCTTCAATACAGCGATATTTGATGATAGTTTGTCAAGCGAAGAATATCATACCTACCTTCCACGCTTTAATTCAAGCGATGAAGTTAGAATTCCTATAAGTCACCAAGACATATATACATATCCCCACGACAGCTATATTTATATTCAAGGAAATATAGAAGAGCTAGATGGAACCGGTCAAGTACAATTAATCAATAATGCCTACTTATTTTTATTTGATGAAATACGATATGAAATAAATGGCGTTGAAATAGATAGATGCATAAAGCCTGGAGTTACATCAACGATAAAAGGATACATTTCCTATACCGATAACGAAAGTAAAAGTCTGCAATCGGCGGGCTGGATTCCGAAACCTTTAACGAAACAACCTACATTTCTTACACCGAATTTTACCGCATGCATACCATTAAGCTTTATTTTGGGTTTCGGTGAGGATTATAAAAAAATTATCATTAACGCTCGACAGGAATTGGTGTTGTTAAGATCGCGAAGCGATGATAATTGCTATAAAAATGATGTAAAAGATGGTACAAAAAAAATGAAAATCACTATCACCAACATTGATTGGAGAATTCGACACATAACTGTAAACGATAAATATCGTTTGCAATTATTAAATGTTCTCAATAAGGACTCTCCTATATTGATTCCATTCAGAAAATGGGAATTATTTGAATTACCTTCTCTACGCGAAACGAAAAAGGATATATGGTCCGTAAAATCGAGTACTAGTTTGGAAAGACCGCGATACGTCATAATAGCGTTTCAAACAAAACATGATGCTAAATTCGATGCATCCGATTTTCAACATGCAAACATCAATAATATTAAATTACATTTAAATTCATCTCAATATCCATACGATAATTTAAATCTATCCATGATACAAAAACGTTATGGTAACGTTTATAATATGTATACAAACTTCAGAAAAAGTTATTATGGCTCGAATAAAATTGTTGGAGAACCGCTAATAGACTTTGATCTCTTTCACGATTTACCACTTTTCGTTATCGATTGCTCAAAACAATTAGAAAGCGTAAAATCATCTTCAGTTGATATAAAGTTAGAGTTTGAAGCGGATCTACCTTTTAGTAAAAATACTTCCGTATTCTGCCTCATTATTCACGATACCATCGTACAATATAGACCATTAACAGGTTTAGTGCAAAAGAACAAATTTAATAGAATGCCGCTTGATGAATAAAGATTTAAATGTTCGATATCTCGCATTATCGATTACATCTCATGAGGATTTACAGTATTTAGAATAATGTAATGAAAGAATGAAGACATTAAATTCGATTCGAGAAATTAACGAATTAAAAGAATCTCTCGAGCAAACTAAGGAAGATCTTATTGAGAGCAGACAAGATTTAATCAATTGTTTAGGTCAAAACGCTGGTTTACGCTTGGAAATATGTGTTTGGAGCGGGAAATGTGCTAATAGCAATAATATTAGCGAATTATTACCGCGAGCGGGGGCTCTTGTAAATTTATCTGTAACCTCCGAATGTAGCTGGTATTGTTCTTCATGTGAACAAGAAACCAAAAGACTTAAATCGAAATTAAATGAGTGCAATCGAACTTATAGAGTTGGAGAATCTGTATAGGAAAGCTGAAGGTGTTGTAAAAGGAGGAAAAAATAAATAAAAAACGTGCTGGAAGAACATGCGTAAAGTTTTCTGAATGCGCGTTTGTTGTACAGATCGAGTTAGTTGAAATTGATGCGCCGAACTGGCAAGAAGTCTGCAACGATCGGTTAAGATTCAAAAAACGAATCGATGAAGTAGAAGTAATTTTATCGCCCATATTTTCGGAATCGCACCGTCTAAGCATTATAATGTCAACTCACAACGTGATAAAAGTGTTGGATGTTCAGGGATTCGCCATCTCCATAGGGTTTAAAGTGAAAGAATTAGCGATATCGGATGGTACCCATCTTCTATTTCAACCTGCAATAGCCAAACATCATCTAAATAGAAAAGAAGCCAAGGATGTTGTATGGCAAGAAAAGAATTTACATAACATCCCCTACGATGATGGGGACGNAACTTTTGTTGTCTCAATATTGTAGTTACCTCTGAAGAAGGAAAAATAAAATTTCCGAAAGCTCGGTAAAGATAAAAGGAAGCCTCTTTTCAATTATCTAGCCTTTGTCGTGTTGGTCGTGTATCCCAATAAATTACTTTAGTTTATTCGATAGTTTCTTTAAGTAAATTAGAAAATGCGAAATTTCCTGCACTGCTGGTAGAGCTGGAAGAAAATATTGTATTTCTACCGAAACGCTATTTTAACATGGTGGATGATGAATTTAGTGAACTTGTAAATTCAGCTGACGATTCGTATGGCTTTGGGTTAAGATTGAACGGTTATATGGACATTGGAAAGGCTAATCACTCTACAGTAACGGATTTAAACGAATATGGTGATAATTGTACGGCAAATTTAATAGAATGCCGCTTGATGAATAAAGATTTAAATGTTGGATATCTCGCATTATCGATTACATCTCATGAGGATTTGCAGTATTTAGAAGAATGCAATGAAAGAATGAAGAGATTAAATTCAATTCGAGAAATTAACGAATTAAAAGAATCTCTCGAGCAAACTAAGGAAGATCTTATTGAGAGCAGACAAGATTTAATCAATTGTTTAGGTCAAAACGCTGGTTTACGCTTGGAAATATCTGTTTGGAGCGGGAAATGTGCTAATAGCAATAATATTAGCGAATTATTACCGCGAGTGGAGGCTCTTGTAAATTTATCTGTAACCTCCGAATGTAGCTGGTATTGTTCTTCATGTGAACAAGAAACCAAAAGACTTAAATCGAAATTAAATGAGTGCAATCGAACTTATAGAGTTGGAGAATCTCTATAGGAAAGCTGAAGAGTGTTGTAAAAGGAGGAAAAAAAAAATAAAAAACGTGGTGGAAGAACATGCGTAAAGTTTTCTGAATGAGCGTTTGTTGTACAGATCGAATTAGTTGAAATTGATGCACCGAACTGGCAAGAAGTCTGCAACGATCGGTTAAAATTCAAAAAACGAATCGAGGAAGTAGAAGTAATTTTATCACCCATATTTTCGCAATCGCACCGTCTAAGCATTATAACGTCAACTAACAACGTGACAAAAGTATTGGATGTTCAGGGATTCGCCATCTCCACAGGGTTTAAAGTGAAGGAATTAGCGATATCGGATGGTACCCATCTTCTATTTCAACCTGCAATAGCCAAACATCATCTAAATAGAAAAGAAGCCAAGGATGTTTTATGGCAAGAAAAGAATTTACATAACATCCCCTACGATGATGGGGACGTTTCATACTCCTCGCTCAAAGAAATTTTGTTGGAGCGTTTGAGGGATGTGGAGGTGGTTTTTGTGAAGGGACATCAAAAAGAGAGGTTATTGCGGGAGACGATTGGAGAAGATTTTAAAAATTTAGTTATCATAAATTTAGATATAAATAAGACGTGTCCTGTTTTACGGAAACAGGAAAATCCCTGTCATCATCATCGCAAAATAAACAGCAACTGTGCATTCGAAAACATGAAAACTTTGTGTAAATTTTTAAAAATAAGTTTAGATTAGATTATTAATATATACTTTTAAATTTATTTCCGCGATATATTTTATTTTAAAAATAAGTTTAGATTATTAATATAAATTTTTAAATTTAAGAAAAAAAAATTTTATTTCCACTATATTTTATTTTATTATTACACCAAAATAAAAAAAATGAGTATTTAAAAAAAATTTATTGTTTCCGCAGCGGTTGAGAGCGACGTGGATTCGCAATCGCTCCATCTAAAAAAACAATAAATAATAGTATTTCATGAAATAAAAAAAATAAAAAAAACTTACGTTTAGTCTCAGCATCGGCGGGTGAGGGTGGTGGTGCGAAATACCTTGGAGACTTAGGACTCGCTATCCTCTCGTTATCTAAAATCGATTTTAAATAATCAATATTTAATTCATAAGATAAATGAAAAAAGAAAAAACTTGCATTTTTTTTGGTTATGATTGAAATTCGTTTCGCCAAGCTCGAGGTAATCGTATTTGTAATCTAAAATCAAATTTAAATAATCAATATTTAATTCATAAGATAAACGAAAAAGAAAAAAAACTTACATTCTTCCTCATATCGAGCGAAATTCGCATCATCATTGAGATTATTGGATGATGACGATGACATTGTAGAATTAATAACTCTTAGCACATATTATAAAGAATTTATATAACTCGAATTATCGCTATCCGGAGGATGCAGGCGGTTAATTAATATATTTTTTGCATAGCAATAAAATAAAATTAGATAACGATGATCTGAGTGTTGTCGTTGAATCATATAGAGTTGGCGAGAGGATGCGGGTGTTAATTGATATATTTTTTGTATGGTTAATTGATGGAATGCATTACACATTTTATCATCGTTAGCGGGAGGATGTAGCTAATTGATAGAATGCATTACACATTTTATCGATAGCAAATTATCGGTAACGGGAGGATGTATCTGTTATAAAAATAGTTGATCTATTTTTTTTCCAAAGCCGGATGTTTACGTGATCGTGTTTCTAATAAGTTTATACATCTTTAATTAACAGGATATATTTATCGTCTAATTATTCATTACATCCTGATGATTTATTTATTAGAAAAATTTCATGGTCACACCTTATCATCGTTAGCGGGAGGATGCAAATTATCGGTAACGGGAGGATGCATCTGTTATAAAAATAGTTGATCTATTTTTTCCGAAGCTGGATGTTTATGAGATCGCGTTTCTAACAAGTTTATACATGTTTAATTAACAGGATATATTTATCNGTGCTCGGCGCATACGCTTTTTTTGCAATGTTCGCATTTGTTTCGCGCTTTACGGTTTTTTGCCCTGGGGCAGTAATCACAACGACCTAATGGCCCCTCAGCCCTTTGCAATACCTCTTCTTCGTCGCACTTTAATATTTGGCGAATATTACTTCTTATTTCCCTCGGAAGTCGTCCATTATTCATCCTGCCTCTAAGATGTTCTTCTACCAGTGACATAGACAGTTGCTTTAGGAAGGCTGACCGTTGAACTGGTTTATCGGCATCCTCGTTCCATTTGTAAATGACATACGAGTTGATTCCTGCAATGTCCATCATTCCATAAAAGATTCTTAGTGGCCATCTACGAGTTTTTCTGGACACTGTCGTCGAATGACATAGCTGGTCGAATGTATCAACGCCACCTTTTGTTTCATTATAAAACATGATCATTTCTGGCTTTTTGGTGTGTTCATTTATATCTGGTTGGGTATGCATTGTTGATATTAGAATAACTGTTTTGTTCTTTTTTGGGACGTACGAAACCAGAGTGCTTTGGTCGTTATGTACAAACATACTCGATTGTACCGCTTTTCCTTTTGTTTCCACAAGCTGTTTTGGTATGTCTGGTTTGTTCTTTCTCAAGGTTCCCACCATGGTTAGCTTGAGTTCTAATAATTTTTCCGCTACCTCTAATGAACTAAACCAATTATCCATTGTGCAGTTTCGGTTTGAGCCTTGAATTTCTTTCGTCAAGTTCAAAACATAATGTGTCGGAATGGAAAACGGTCCTTCCCTGACCTCTTTACCGATATAAGGCTTGGCCGAGCACATATAAAATGTTCTTGAATCACACATGGTCACAAGTTTTAAACCGTATTTATCCGGCTTACTAGGGATATACATTTTAAAAGGACATCGTCCTCTAAATGCCAGTAAAGTTTCATCAATAGTTACATATTCTGAGGGGCTGTAGTTTCTTCTACAACATCCCTCAAAAATATCCCATATCTCTCTGGTAGCAGCGAATTTGTCTTGTTTTTTCCTTTCTTCCCTTGTCGCTTTATTGTCAAACCGCAAACAATTGATCAGAAATTCAAATCGGTTTTTACACATTGTTGCTCTGAAAACCGGAGGTCCTAACTCTAATGAAAATAAATCATGTAGGGTAAGATGCGCGCTTTTCATAACACCGCTAAGATATAAAAGACCAAGTAAAGCACGCAATTCAACAACATTTGTTTCACCAATATATCGCTGAGCGGTTTTATAACGTGTCCTTTTTATATTGATTTGGTGGTTTGTATATTGAACAATTATGTCGAGGATCTCGTCAGTAAAAAATGAATTCCAAATTTTACGTATGCATTTCAAGTTGCGCAAACAACCTTTTGGACCGGG